TAGGGGAAGATGCTAAGTTGTTCCCATGGACAACGCCAATTGATGCTACTAAACTTGGAGCTAAGGGTAGTAAAGTAATTTTTGAGGTCCAGGGGTTATGGGTCCCACTTGCTAAGAGTGAAAAGATGTTAGAGGCCCCAGGAGTGTTCCTAGGGGCGAGGACTCTAACAATCAAGTTAGTTGATGGCTCGGAGTAAGCTAAGGTCACTACAAGAGAGTAGTGATAGCTCAAGTATGTGTGCCCTACCTTTAGCTGTAGTGTCCCTTTAATATCAAAGTCGCCCAAGTGGGGAGTATGAACGATAAGTAACTATCCCGTAGATTGCGGTCTTGTAGGGGAACTTAGAGAGGCGTCAATCGACCACGACCCCTTCATTAGTGACCCAGGAGTAAATGCACCAAGATCGTGCGCCCACATTAAATGCTCTGCAACCGTTAAGGGTGGGGGTTATCTTGTTACCATTGGGAAATTGTTAGCTATCAGAAATACCCTTGGCCAATGCCATGTGTCAAAGTCTTGTGAGTCGACCAAATATACCTACATCAAGTTCTATTATTTAGGATACCAAAAAACAACATAGTTCCTTCTATGTGGGAATGGCAACAGGGTAGGGCAGGGCCAATTTTTGCCTATCCTATTCCTAACCCCAAACACAAGAACCACACCCTATCCTTGCCCCATACTCCTTCAGGGCTAGAAATCCCAACTCCAGCCTAGTCCCCCAAGGAATGGGGACCCCTGAATTTGCCTTGCCCTACCCCACCAATTCCAACTTAAAAAACCTATTTTTTGAGAATAACATATTATACACATTATAATATGTTGTCTAATATGTATAAAATTTATTTTGTATATTATATAGTATAAAATATTATATATATTATGAATTATAGGTGTCATATTTTAGTATTTATATATAAAATATAAAACAATATATTATAGACATATTATCTATTGGGGCAAGTTTAGGGTGGGGTTACAAATACCACCCTTGCCTCGTCCATTAGAGTTTCGGGTTTCCTCGACATTTAGCAGAGCCAAGGGGGTGGGTGGGGGGACTATACTTTGAGGCAAAGGGAGGACTATACTATTAATATATTATATTAATAATGTAAAGGGGCAAGTTTGAGGCATACGGAACAAAGCACGGTTTTCAAAATTGGATCGGACTGCACGGTTGGATCGGAAAAACCGGGAACCGGTAAGGTGATTGGTTCTGTTTTTCTTCAAAATCGGATATTTGTAAAAAAAAACGTTGATTTAGTTAGAAAACCGTTGACTCGAGCAGTTGACCTGTTCGAACCGTTCAACAGTTTTGATCATTTTTTAATTTTTTTAATTTTTTTGTTAAAATGGGCTGATCGTTTGATTCAAACGGTCGGACCATTCGACTCAGAAACCAGACCCCTGACCGGTTCGTTCTCCGAGTCAGTTTTAAAAAACCTTGGAACAAAGTCTCCCTCGAGTTCCCTTGGCTCTGGCCCTGCAAAGAAATCGGATCTGCTCCTCACACATGGCGCATTGGCGCCTCACTCTAATTCCCTGCAAAGAGATTATTTTTCTTGCAAAGTCATTTTATTAACTTGAAGGAAATTTTATAAATATTCTTGCTACCTTTTTCTTTTAGTTGTGATAATATATTAATATTATATGAAAAAAGTGGTGGCTCTGGTTGTAATTGAGCCTCAATTAAGGACGAACGGACGAAGGAATCATGGATGTATAATTGCTGAAAAGGAGGCTCCATGTTATTCTTCCCACCCTGCATTAATAGGAAAAAAATTCTATGCCATAGGGTTAAGCAAAAGTGGAAAGCAATTACGGAACTTGATTCCTGCTGTAGTGGAGTGCAATGGATGGCTTGGACTAAGAGGAACAAAAGAATTTCCCAAGGCAGTCATGACCAAGTTGAAGAGCTGTTTTCTTCTTTTTCTTTTTTTTTTTTGATAATTAATTAGGTTGAAAAGCTGATTGGATCTGCTATTGGGGGATTGGGTTCCTGTGCAACAGCTACCAGGGACCTTGTTCATCAGCCAACCTTTCTTCATTTGTAGTCTGTAAACCTGTGATGTATCTGAATTGAAGTGGGTTTTGTTGGGGCTGGGTTCAGTTGGTTGAACCTGCCCTTCTTTTTATCATTTTATTAATAAAACAAAATGATAGTTTTTAGACCATGGCATAAACTATCATCTTAGACCGTGACATAAACTATCATCTTAGACCATGACATAAACCACCTTATCTTTATTTAAAAAAAAAATCTGCCCTATTATGTCATCAAAATAAATTCATTTTTATAGATAAATGTTTCTACTATGTATTAAAAATAATACTTTGAAGGCTAAAATTAGTTGTGAAAACCATGACATAAGATGAAATATATGGTACATATGGACTATGTGATTGAAAAGTGTGGCTAATTCATTAGTGGTTTACTTGTAAGTGCTGAAAAAAAAAAAGGCATGAAAGGTTTTAGACAATGCTCATCATTATAAGGTTTGGTTATATGTATCCTGTTCAGCCTTTAAATTATTTCAACCTACCTCAACCATGTTCTCCCAACCTTTTCAATCTATAAGCTCACGGATGTTATGGTTTTTGGACAATATTTTATTTTTAAATTCCAACCTCTACCTTTGGGTGCTTCTATAGTTGCAATGGCCAACTCATGGGCATGGCTTGCTGTCATCTCTGCCACCATTATACAAGTGATGGCAATTGGGCCTGCACCAATTAATTTTTACTATTTTGCCATTTGAGTCACTTGAAATGCACCCATAGGCGCATCTCATTTGACAGTTCACACATCAAAGTTTACCTTAGCCTTAGTTTGGATTTTGGAAGGAGTAAAAATGCAAATATATAGAATGCAAAACTTTATATTTTTGTATTATTTTTTATGTATTTTATTGTATATATTTGTATTTATATTCTTTCCTAACTGAGTCTTAATTACATTGGCCTCTGGAGGGGCCATTTGAATCACAGGCCAGGGTTTTCTTTTATTTTATATGACATTTTCCCAATTTCTCTGGATAATCTGTAAAATCTTTCAAGCTTTGTAAAGCTTTGGTTTCTATTTTCTTTTCATGCATTTTTTTTTCTTTCTTAAGCCCATCCACCAATCCCCGGTGTATCTTCTATTCATATTGTTGGGTGTGGGGATTTTTTTTTTATTTGGTATTTGGGTGTGGGACAGGGATGGCAATTTTCCCCATCCCCGATGGACACCCAACTTCCCCGACCTAATGGGGATGGGGATTGTTTTGGCGGAGTGGGGATGGGGACGAGGATTAATAGGAATCCCTGGTCGGGGTCGGGGTTGGGGATGGGGATGGGGATTGAGGTCCCCGCTAGGGGTGGCAATGAGCCAAGCTTTTCACGAGTTGCTCGAGAATTTACAGGCTCGATTAATAAATGAGTCAAGCTCGATTCGGCTCGAATCCACCCCTAGTCCCACCCCGCCCCAACCCTGATTTTATATATATATATATATATACATATTAAATGTTATTTATATTAAATATACTATTATATTATTTATATTATTATGTATATATCAAAATATATTTAAAACATTATTTATAATTTAAAATTTTTATTTATTTTAAGTAAATTTATTTTTTAAATACTGTTATCTGAAAACATTTTGGGGATTCAGGTCCCCATGGGGAATCCAGCCCTATCAGGGATTGGGGATGGAAGACAAATTTTATCCTAGGCAGGGATTGGGGATGGGGATGGGGATTAATTTCAGAATCAGGGACAGGGAATATGATCCCCGCCTTGAACCCGCCCGTTTCATTTCCTATGTGGGAAGTTGGTCCTCGAGAAGAGACCAAACTTGGTCTGCCATCTGGCAATTTATAAATACATGAATTTTGTCCTCCAGTAAACCACACGTGGGACAATTTGCATATCACAATGGAACCCCCTATTTTATAGTCTTCATCCTTTCGTTGGAAGCTTATTTTTTTTCTCATGAGAATTCACATGAAGATCTTAAGTTTTGGAGGGCATTGTATTTTGTTTATTTTTTTACTCAAAGCTTTTTTTTTCCTTTCATCTTCCTTGTCTTCACTGTTCAAGTTGGCATAAGCTGATTTCACTGAGAAACCTCCACTTGTGCTGGCACCCCATACCAACTAACTGATCTTCCTTCCTTATCTACCAATGCCAATGGGAGAGTTATTGCTTGAACTCTATCTGCTATCTCAACAGGAAGAATACTATTAATTAATTTTAGACATATCTCACTCGTTATTGTTCATTGACAACTCTACTTTGCAATCCTCTTGGTTAAGGTCCCTATTATCATTGATTCTGTAGTCCTTTGGTGGTCCCTTTATTGCCCAGTTATCCAACCAAAGATTGCACTTTCTTCCATCTCCTATTTTCTATGCAAGACATGTTTTTATGTTTTCTCTTTGATTACAAATGCTTAGATCTCCAGCACTAACTTGATTTTTTTGGGGGGATTTTTTATTGCATAAATTCATTGTTTTTTAATTAGATATTTTCCTTTTACCATCTTCACCCAAAGATTGTCCTTGTTCTCAAATTATTCTCCATCCAAATTTGATAAGATTTACCACATTAACATATTCCATGCCTCCATTAGATTTTTATGCTGTTAAAGAAACGTGAAAGTAGTGGTGGATTTATTCCATTATATATTCTGCCTTTATGGGTTATTGGAGTAGCTTTTAATTAATTTGTGGAAAAATCTATGCAGTAAAAGACTGAATGGTTGAGGTGATGATAAATACACCTTGTTAAACATGAAAGAACACTTTGTTAAAAGTGAACAAATGAAGAAATTTGGATTTAGCGTGCAGTCAGTCAATATTATTAGAGTGAATGCACCTTAGTTTTTTTGGTAAGATGAATGCACCTAATTGATCTTTAATTATTGCTGATTCTTTACAAATCTTTTCTAATTGCTCTATTTAAGTCTCAACTCTCGACAATGTGTTTGTTCCTGTGTAACTCTCCTGGATCTCGCTCTTTAACTCCAATCACCAAGAGTCTCTCTTCCTCCTTTTCTCTTGAAGTTACAACAATGATGTTGCAAAAAGAAGAGGTGGAGATGGACGAAAACGATGGCAATGGAGAACAAACGAAGATCGTAAACAAGGCACACATGTTAGAAAGTATGTGGTCACTGAACAAATTATGGCTATAAATAACTGTATAATCGTTTTTGGTTTTACTCCTCTTTTTGCTTAATTGATTCTGCAGTCGATCATGGAGTAGAAGACTGTTTACGTTGCGGGAGTGGAATGCAAAATGAATTCTATTTCTCCTCCATTCCCAAAGATAAGAAAATAGAACCATTAACTCTATATAGCAGCAGCCTTTCACGGATAGGTCTCCTGCCCAAACCCACAAGTCCATAACCCCATGAAGGAAGCTCGAAGACAGAAAAGTAAAAAACAAAAATTATAATAGATTATCAGTGCTGGAGCAGACTAAAAGTTCTATAGATTTTATTGATAGGTCAGTTCCTTTAATCTAAGAGGGTCTTTTAACTGATCGTTTTAACTAATTCCTTTGCATCTCTCTAATCCATTCATTCATTTAAATTTTCAATGTTTTCTTCCATTCACTCTGCCTTCTTTTTGGTTGTTTTCTATTTTTCTTTATCAGGGTTCGTGGAAATGGATTAGTTTGGTAACTGCTCCAAGTATTATAACTTAATTACTTTGTATTTTTCTTTACAGTATGCATGAGAGCAGACATATTCCAGGAAGAGTTTGAGTGGTTATAATATATGCATTTGCCAAATTTCTTTTTGYAATACCCAAAAGAAAATTGTACTAAATTACTAATACATTCTGAAGTTTTTTGCTGGTATCTGTTGTGCCTTTGTTTTATCTTACTTTGTAATACAATGGAGTGTTTTGAGCTGAAGTTTTTTTTTAAAAAAAACTCATTCTCTTTTCTGCTGTTTTTGTTTTTTTTTCCTAGCAATTCCATATTTCTTGACACCATGATCAACAGCAGCCGGAGGCAGAGCCAATTAAATTCAATGTCTCCTGCAACACCAGTGGTTATTTCCTCTGTGCAGGAACTTTATGAGTTTGCATGCTCGGGTCCTCTTGTAGAGAAACTGGGTCTGACCCCAAAAATAATTGCAGAGACCTTTCATAGGTGGTTAAATTGCGGGCTTTACCTCTGCAGATTATTTCAATTCAATGAACTTAACCTATCAATCCCTCAGAAAGCCAGATTTTATCACTTTTATATACCGGTGTTCTTCTGGTGTGAAGATCAGATTTTCCATCACAGGTCAATGTTCAAGGATGCAGAAGATATCCCTCCTTTAGTGGTATAGATATCCTTTTGGACATATCGTTTTCCTTATTTCCTGATCACTGTCCATAAGTATTTCAGTGCATAAGCAGCTCACATTAAGATGATTTCCTTTTGTGGTGCAGATTGGTTTCGCTGCTCCACAAGGAAGTGGGAAGACTACACTTRTTTYTGCTCTAGATTATCTTTTACGATGCACTGGAAGGTTGGTTGCAAACTAGTGCAATATTTTATATAAAATTTCCTTTTTAGAGTGAAGACTATCTGAAAAGTATGGAGTTTCTGAGAGCTATGCTTAAATCTTAGGAAATCTGCAACAATATCAATAGATGATTTCTATTTGACAGCTGAGGATCAGGTAATAATCTTTTGTAGTTCATTTAAGTATTTTTCCCCCTCTCCAACTCAAAATTTTGTTTCTGGTTTGGTTTTATTGTAGGCTGAACTGCGAGAAGAAAATCCTGGAAATGCACTTTTAGAGGTAGCAACTGAAATTAATGCCATGTGTTTGATATTTTAATTATTCTTCTCCTTAACTTGTTAAAAGTAGATATAAGGGATTTGTTCTTTCAATTTTTGTCAATTTCTGCCATCATTAGCTTCGGGGGAATGCTGGAAGCCATGATCTTCAGCTATCTGTTGAAACACTGATGGGCCTATGCAGATTGACAAATATATACTGTACAGTGCAAAATTGACACTGTACATACTTGTATTTGCACCCTTCCCGAACTAAGAAAGGACTGATTTATTCATGTTTCAAATAATGGAGTTTTCCTTTCTTCATAAAAACATGGTATTCTGTCTGTAACAATGGGTTGTAAACCATCCAGGCATGAGGATGAAGCTTCCACGTTACAACAAAGTAAGCAGAAAATTATCATTAATCCTTTTCTTTTCTTGAAGATTCTTTATGAGTTTAAGAGTGTATATTGATAGGATATATCTCTCTCTCTGTACAGTCTGCGTTTGGTGGAAGAGGTGACAGAGCTGATCCGTCAACATGGCCGGAGGTTGAAGGGCCACTAGCAGTAAGATAGTGATCTTCAGTTTTTTTATTACTAAAGGGTCTGTTTGGATAAGCTTCACTTTTGAGTTTTGGGCTGTGGGAAACAAAAATGTGACAAAAAGTGTTTTAAGTGTTCGGTAAGTATGTCTTTAAAAAAAAAACATAATCTAAAGTCCCAAAACACTTTTAAGCCAGAAAACGTAAAGCTTAGAATTGGGGCTTTAAAAAACACAACCCTGAAGCTTATCCAATAGCAAGCTTACTAAATCATTTCCATTCTGTCTCATTATTGGTTTGCCCTTTGGATGGTTCAGGCTATTTTGTTTGAAGGTTGGATGCTTGGTTTTAAACCCCTTGAAATGGAAGTAGTCAAGGCCATCGATCCACAGGTTTGGACTGGTCAATTTATTTGTTTCAATTAATGTTTTATTTCTAAGGCTCTCTCATTTTGTATATAGGTTTGAAGATTTTGGATCTAAGATGGTTTTAGTTGTGTGCAGCTAGTGGTTGTTAACRAARAYCTTGAGGCTTATTATGATGCATGGGACAAGTTTGTTGCGTCATGGATGGTAATCAAGGTTAAGGACCCAAATTGTGTCTATGAGTGGCGATTGCAGGTATATGTGTTATCCATGAACATTAATACCTTATGCATGCTCTCTTTATGTGGAGTCCTGTCTTCTTTTCAACTTAATAATTGTAACAATCGTCATCTAAGCTTTGTCTCAACTATATGGGGTCGACTACATAAATCATGTTTTGCTATTCCATTTGGTTTAGTTTAATAATTGTATATCTCAGGCTTCCCATAATGAATTGTGCTAAAGTTGCTTAGAGCTGAGATTAGTTAGTGGGTTAATCTTTATGAAATTAAGTTTCTTTTAATTGTTCCAGGTCATAGACTTTATTTCACGTTTCCTGTCGGCATACAAGGCCTATCTTCCAACACTCTATTCAGAAGGACCAAATGGATCAGATATTGAGCATCTCCTTGTTGTTGAAATTGATGAAAATAGAAATCTTATCTTACATAGCTAACTAAATGTGGTTCATCTAGAATACTTAGAAATTAAAAGCCATTTTTAGTCTCTTGGAGAGAAGATGTGATGTTTACAAGTACTGTTAGTGATAGTTGGCATCAATGTAATAAAATATATATTTTTGGTATTACATATTGGGATTAAGAGGGAGAGAAGAAAGCAGACTGCATGTGAAATCCATCCACCTTACTATGAAGAGCTTGTGGTTATGCAGGTTTGATCCCGCCAAGTGGAATTCTCTTTTGCTACAAACATGGTTTTAGCCTTGGGCTAACTGTGAATCACAGCCTTCCATGGTGTTGGTGTGTACCTATCTTGATGTCACTTCATCTAATTCAAGGTGGGCCACAATAATACATTTAGGCTATGTTTGGTTTGAAGGAAAAGGTAGGAAAACCTATACARGATTTGTAAAGGTTTCCTTTCCTTTCCTTTCCTTTCCCTACTTTTTCCTTCAAACCAAACATAGCCTCAAGGTTACTATTTCATATGCTTTTTTGTGCAAAGTTGAAAACCATGTCATTAGCAAAAGTAGATTGTTTGGAAGGATGCCAAGTGAGGTTATCTACAATGTGTATATATAATAGGTGTTTAAGTGAAGAAGTTTTATTCTTTTACAATATTGAAACAAATTAAACATTGGCATCTTTGTCCAGGCAAAATCTATGGTGCATAAATTGCAATGTGAAGCAAAAAACTTGAACCAATGATAAAGCAGCGTTACAATTGAATATTTAATGTTGTTAAGACTCAGTCTATAAAGAGTACAAATGCACATATGTACAATGCAAATATATACAAATTAATACAAAATGCAAGTTTTTGCATCTTATATATTTGTATTTGTAGTTCTTCCAAATTGATCCTAAAGTTTTAACCGTAAATATTTATACTATATATAAAAGTGTAAATGTAGTGTGAAACTTTTTTTGGAGTAAATTACCCTCTATTTCTTTGTTTGAGAAAGGGTATAAAAGTCATTTTATTATAGCTTTAATGGCTACTATAATGGCCATGTTTGTGTATTTAATTCATCTTTAATTGTAAGGATTGAAAATGTAACTTCAATTATATTTTCCACCTTATTTAATCCCCTCTCATTAAGTCTTATACTTAAAGGTATTAACCCCACTTATTTAATCCTATATTTAAGATATTTTTTCACCAATAAATAGTATTAATTAGATCTATGTCAATATTTTAACAATATAAATTTATATATTTTAAAACTAGCTAAAAAACAAAAAAAAAACATTCTTTATTGATGGCAAAGCAATTCAATCATTCGAATCAAATTGATAAACCTATGAAGTCATAGTTAGAGAATAAAATTTTTAAATAGAAATAAATATATAAAATTACAAAAATGTAGAAAAAATTATACACATTTATGATACTTTTATTAATCAAATTAAAAAAAAAATAAGTGTAATAAAAATAATTTTTTATTGATAATGAAAATGAAATACATACTTTAGAACTGACCAAAAATGAAATTCTTTTACTATTTAGCAAAGATCAATAGTTCAACTTTTGGGTCAAATGTATTAACAATTAATGTCATAAATAAATAATAAAAATTAATAAAATATAAAAATAAAAAAATAAAAAATACATAAATGTTGCAAAAAAACATTCGAACATATGTATAGTATTAATTAATTACCATATTAAACAAAAAGTAAGTGTGGCATATCAGAATTATTTTTACACAGAAATATAAAAAATATAAAAAAAATGAACACATCTATAATTCTATATTTATACTACTATTAAAAATATAAATAAGGTTGTGGAACTTTCTTTTGGCTAAAATAAATGTTTTAAAAATCGACCCAAAAACAGAACCACTTTGGCTTCTGGTTTTCGAATCAATGGTTCAACCGCCGCTACAATACCACTTGCCTTCTTTTTACATCTCTCTTATCTCTCTAAATCTTTCTCAAGTCCCAAAACATTTGATTCATTGGTGTATCTCAGATTTTAATATAAGACCAATGTTTGATCTTTCATCTCTTGCATCAATTTTTCAACTTCGTCATTGGGGTTACAATTTTTCTGTTGCTATAACTTAAAAAGAATCACAAAAATGAGAAAACTCAAAATTAAAATGGAATAACTAAAGATCCTAACTAATTTTGACCATTGGGAATAATTGAACAAGATTTTGAGATATGAAAGTTTATTTTGTCATTTTTTTATTTTCTAATTCTTATTTTTAAAATAAATAAAAAAATTTGGAATTAATTTGAAAGCAACTCGAGAACCCGTCCTAAAAATCCTATGTATCCCTGATTCCAAACCTGTTAACTTTTTCTCTCAATTTCCTAAACCCGTCCCATCCCGTTAAACCCCTTGACCAAAGGTTTTCTATTAAAAAAATTTCTTAATGCTTATAATGTAACTTGAACCCAAATCAATTAATGATAATGTCAAATCTCTTAATGCTACTTTAAGCCACTAAGCCATCTCACCTTTTATGTTATTTAATAAAATAAAATAGATTTTATTAACTTTTGTGTTCATCAAAACACAATGCATGTATATGATTAACAATTCCAACTAAAAATTAAAAGAAATAATATTTAAAATTAACATTTTATAACTAAATGAAATAAACAATCTATCAAATCCAAATTTACATCGAATGATGATTTTAATCCCAAGAAATTTATACAAATAAAATATTAATAATAGAATAATCTTAATACTTAAAATTTATAAATTTGTGCAGATATATAATATAATAGGTTCATATTTATGCATTCCGAGTATCGGGTATCAGATACCCTAAAGTCAAAACCCAAACCCTATAGGGTTTTGATAAACGGGTCCTATTAGTGTTGGGACGGGTTGGATACCCGAAAATTCCCACAAAATTGCCATCCTTAGGTTTGGTCCAATTTTGAAAACATTGACTAAAATACTCATTTTTGAATTTAGTCCATATTTAATTATAAGGTTTAAATTATAAATTGAACTAATTATACTATATATAAAAGTGCGGATGGAGAGTGGAAGTTTTTTTGAACTAAATTACCTTCTATGTCTTTGTTTGATAAAAGGTATGAAAATCATCTTATTACAACTTTAGTGCCAACTTTTTATAGCTACTAAAATGCACATAGTTGTCTATTTATTACATCTCTAATTGTAAGCGTTGAAAATATAACTTCAATTATTACTTTCTACCTTTTAATCTTCTTTCATTAAGTCTTATACTTAAAGGTATTAACTCACATTTTCTCTTATTAAATTCTATATTTAAGTTATTTTTCACTAATAAATGGTACTAATTAGATGTATGTCAATATTTTTATTAATATAAACCCATATATTTTAAAACGGGGTAAAAAACAAAAACATTCTTTATCCAAGTGGTGGCTAAGCAATTAACCATTCGAATTAAATTGATAAACCTTTGAAGTCATAGTTAAGTAATTAAATTTTTAAATAGAAATAAATATATAAAATTACAAAAATGTAAAAAAAAAATTAGACACATTTATGATACTTTTATTAATCAAATTAAAAAATAAGTGTAATAAAAATAAACTTTTATTGATAATGAAAATGAAATACATACTTTAGAACTGACCAAAAATGAAATTCTTTTACTATTTGGCAAAGATCAATAGTTCAACTTTTGGGTCAAATGTATTAACGTTTACTGTCATAAATAAATAATAAAAATATAAAAATAAAAAATACATAAATGTTACAAAAAAATTCAAACACATATATAATATTAATTAATTATCATATTAAACAAAAAGTAAGTGCGACATATTGGAATTATTTTTACACAGAAATATAAAAAAATGAACACATCTATAATTCTACATTTACACTACTATTAAAAATATAAATAAGGTTGTGGAACTTTCTTTTGACTAAAATACTCATTTTTGAATTCATTCAATTACCTCTATTTAAATCTTACATTTTTTATAAATGAATAGAAAAAACACCAAAAAGATAAAATATTATAAAAAAGAAGAATCTAACCAAGCAGGTAGACCTATTAATGATATTTGAAACTTCACAACTTGATTTGATTATCACATATATAGATGAGGTGTTTATATAATAAGATTTATATTTCGCAATATGATTCCAATTAATAATAAAAAGCAAAAAACATATAAAAACAAAAAATAAAAATACATATTTATAGAAATTTTTGGATACATTATTACTATCATTATCATCATTTAGAATTACCAGTGATTTATAAAATGGGAATCAATAAAAAGTAGTTAAACCATGTGATATCTTTAACCTAATTGAAATTTTCATTTAATGTGTAACAAATATTCAGACCATGTGATATCTTTAATGGAAAATCATTATATTCTTAACAAAAGAAGACATGAACATAAACATATATAAAAATGAAGTGAAAAAAAGACCCGCGGAGCTAGGGGGACCCAACCCTCCTGCCCCAAAAATCCCCAATATTCCATGTAAATTTCCCCCTTCCCCACTCCCACTCCAATGGGTTGGTCCTCTCTATAATCATCCGTATTTATTTATTCCCTCCTCCCCCCAAATCCACCTTAGGTTTTGGCTCCCTGAAATTTTTCTTAATTTTTCTTCCTCCATCGATGTAGGGAATAACATCTCTTTGAGTACAACGAGAATAATAAAGGGAGGCATGGTTTTAAAAAATGAATAAAAAACGGAACCGTTATGGCCATCGATTTTTGGGTCGATGGTTCGACCATCTGATTCGAATGGACGACCCGTTCTAACAACAAAAATTAAAAAAAATTAAAAAATAACCAAAAATATTGAATGAATCGATAGATCGATGGTTTGACTACTTGGATCAATAGATCATTGACCGATTCTACGGTTTTTGGCTAGAAATAACTTGCTTAAACAGTTTCTGGACCGAACAGTCTGACCAACGGCGATTCTAAAACCATAAAGGGAGGTCTTATTATTTGTTTCCCTTAGAGAGAGAGGATTTGGATACACAAGATGACAAGATGGGCCGACGGAGAAAGTAAGTTGAATGACTACTGTGTCCACTGCATCAAAATAGTAGTGGATGCTACGCTTATTAATTAAAGATTGGACGTTCTATATCAAACAAACTGAAGATAATAGATGTTCAGGAATCAGGAGCTTCCTAAATTTTACCTTTCCCTTTTTAAGCTTGTTTCTTTTTTTGCATTTTAATTTTCTAGATAGTAGATAGATCTTGTAGATCAACGCACATGACTCACACCCTACACCCCTACCTGCTTCAATTAGAGACTCTATATTTGAGATAATTTGCACCGTACATATTTCTCCGTGTATTTGTATTTACACTCTTCCCACAGTGAGAGGTGAGAGCCCTTATTTGTACACCTTGTTTTTAACGTGTAAAAGTAATTATCTATTTAATTGTTTACTTGAGTTGGGCTTTCTAGATGTTCATCTGACCCACAGCCACAGGACACACAACCGGGCCCTTTTCGGGTTGTACATTGGGCCCATCTCCCCCTTTGCTAGTCTAAACTAAAGCCGATAAGAGAAGGGGAACGTCATACATACGGATACGGTAATCGTAGTTGGGCCTGGGCCTCTGTCTAGATTGGGGCCCGGGACTAGGCGCCGACTTGACGTCTTGTCTCCTCCTATGGACTATGGTCCCTACATATCGGCATAAATATCTTATTCTACGATTCCAATCTAACGGTTCAATAAAAGGGATATTGAATAGGTATTTATTTATTGGCAGAAATATCCTTGCCTGGAATTCTTTTTTACCTCAATGGCTCGATCGACTCCTGTCAGCCTGTGTAGTGTGTAACACGGCGGGGACTGGGGAGGGACGTCAGACGTGGAGTCGTGGACGACAGGCCCACACCTACATTCGCGTTTCAAGATAAAGGAGAGAGGGGCAAAATAGTCCTTCCGTTAATTATTATTATATCCTCTTTCCGCACCCACCGCCCTCCGTCTACCTCGATCTCCATTTCTCCATTTCTCCTTTTCTCCTCTTGTTTCTTCGAGTTCCGTCCTTCTCCCTCCGGCGCTTTTTAGAAAACAGCCATGGCCACATCTCGTCCTCCACCACCGAAGCTTCTCGACCTCGACATCACCATCGTCTCTGCAAAGCACCTCAAGAACGTCAACTGGCGAAACGGAGATCTCAAACCCTACGCCATCTTCTGGGTCGACCCGGACCGGCGACTCGCCACCAAACCTGATGACTCGGGCTCTACTCGCCCCGTTTGGAACGAAAGGTTTACTCTGTCTATCAACGTTCCTCTTCAGGATTCCATCCTCAATCTCGAAATCTTCCACTCCAAGCCCTCCGAGACCCCTAAACCTTCGGTCGGCTCGCTCCGCCTTCCTCTCAGGGACCTGGTCGACTCGGACGATTCCAACCGTATCAGAACTTTCGAACTCCGTCGTCCATCCGGCCGTCCCCAGGGTAAGATCAGGATAAAGCTTGCCGTCCGCGAACGCCCTGCTCCACCTGCCCCGGATTATCATGTTACCCCTCCGCCCAGTTATTATTATTCCAGTGCTCCTCCTCCTCCACCTCCTGCATCACGCGACTATAGGGGATACTCTCCTTCTCCGTATTCGACTCCTATCCCACCACCGGCGCTACCCCCTGCTCCGTCACCGGCTCCTCAGTATCCGTACGGCAGCTATTCGGATCCATATTCCGGTTATTACTCTGGCTACTACTCTCAGCCGCCGCCGCCGCCACCACCTCGTCCATTCTTCGATCGGTCTTCTAATTACGGTGGACCCAGTGGGCCGTCAGCGCCCGTCGATTATTCGTCGTACGATCAGAAGCCGAAAGGAAGCAAGATGGGATTCGGTACAGGTTTGGCTGTGGGAGCAGTTGCCGGGGCTTTGGGAGGTCTTGCATTAGAAGAAGGAATCAAATATGAGGAGGAGAAGATTGCAGACAGAGTCGAGAGCGACCTAGCCTCACGAGATGAGTACAGCGAATATCGTGGTGATTATTGATGTATTTGGTAATTTGGTTTTCTTCTTTAACTTTTTCTGGGGTTTGGGTTCTTATGAAGGTAAGCTGAAATAACTGACATACTCCAGTTTGGGTATGCCGTGTATATAATCTATGTTTCTTTTCTTTTTAACTTTGGTGTTTACAATGCTTGTCCGAACAAGGAAAATACTTAATTCTACTAGCTTTATCACTCATGGATATGTATGAAATGCCTTTTCCCTTTGGAAATGAGAAAAATCTGATCATATTTTCATTCTTCCGGTCCTCTATTTCATCCATAAGTTTCTCAACCAAAATACGTTATTAGGGTCAACAGAGTTAGTAGAAGTTCACCCTTGAGAATCAAGATAAGCATTCTGAAAATTTTAGATGGATGTGCATGATTTGAAACAATCTGTACGGCCATAGCATCTTGAAAGCTAATGCAGGATGCTAATACGATTCTTGAGAAATGGGGACAATTGGATGTGTATGAACTTTTATTTGGAGTTTCTCCATTATCTCCATACACCTTATTTTATCTCCTTAGATCTATTCTAATTAAATTGGGTACAATTTGTCTTACCATAATGAAATGTTCAATGCCACCATAGAGATGATTAATCCAGAGTTTGGTTAATCTTTAACAATTTTTTCCTAGACCAAGTGATATTGGACAGTACTGTTCTCCAAAACTGAAAAGTCTAGACTTTGATGAGGTCTCATCCAGACCATTTAGTTAGTTAGATGGTTGCCATTGGTCTGACAATAGTCTTGATGTGTTCTGTGATGCCAGAATGGTTTCAATCAACAAGGTTTTGAACCTTGATGCCCGTTTTTACCTTCCCAGAATTGCTGTTGATTAATTAGGTGATTTCCAATTTTTCATGACCGGTCTTGAATATATAAATAAATAAAGCCAAACTTGTTCATGACCATGATAATCTTTTATGGCAATATGAACACATTTATCCAAAACATGTGTATACTGTTGGTAGCTGATATTTCTGCAACCAAATCATGTCTCCCATGCAATCGATATGGTTCTAAGAACTCAACATAGGACAACTTGGTGGAGATGAGAGGGAGACAAGTGCTTTTTAGGAGCATCACTTTCTAATACTCATGCACCTAGTGAGATTTGATATCTTTATCTAATATGATTACTGTAGCACAGTATGGAATACTTGCATTTTTGGCTTTGAAGCTTGATGGCAATGGATCCAAGTATTCTTTTAAAAATATGAAAAATTGGTGTAACCCCAGGAAAGTCATGAGGTTACCTGTAAAATTAGGATTTGTAAAAAGCTTTTTGCTCAATCTATTTTCTGTACTGGTTTTTAACTTGACATGTTTCCTTAGGGGTCTCATGCAGATAATGCATTAACTGGACAATCCTACCTCTCTTAGATGGGAGGAATTGCATGTTAGGTTGGGATGATTGCCCAATAGCTAAGAGCTTTGGGGTCTGGCCTAACAAAGTTTTTGCCTGGTAGTTGATCAGCTTCAATTAACAGTTATAAGTGTTTATGAACAAGATCGATCTGGATCTCTTTTCTGTTCTCTTGCCTTGTAATTTCTGGACGTTTTGAGACTTACCTGTTCAAATGTAATCTCCTCTTGGAGATGGATGGAAGCATTTAAAGTTTTGTCTTTCTGAGTTAACTTTGCCAAAGGTGTGATTCTAGGCTTAAATTCCCATTTTGCATTTTGCTTTTCTTTTTTTTTCTCTTATCCATGAAAAATCTCTGGTGTTAACTGGACTAAGAAAGATTCCTGCTTGTGGTTATCTTTGTTCTTCTCAAAGTGATACTTCTTGGAAAGGGAGTACTTTCATTGTTATATGCTGATGTTGGATTAGTCTTGACTGGATTATGGTGCTCCCTGATTTTGAGGATATCTATAATGTTCATTTGGGAGGGATTTTTGAGCTCCTTTGGATCTTGTGGGTAACATACATGGATAGGTGTATTTTCATAAAATGCATACATGGAGGAAGTCAATTTTCTGTCTACAAGGTGTCTCAAATACCTTTTCTGACTTTTTTGATTGCCTTCCTTTTCTTATTTTAAAATGACATTATTTCTATGCATTTACAGAAAATGAAAAGCCTATAGAATGTAATTTATCATTGCTGATATCTGAGCATCAATGATATTAGTTTTCCCTACTGGCCAGGAAAACATGTGGATTATGCCTTTCTTGTATGTTAGTTTTGTGGGATGTTTTGTTGTAAACCGTTTTCACTGCCAGACCTTTCCTTCTAAGAGTGTTCGTGAGGCATTTCTGATGGTAATTGTAAATACATTTATTCTTCTTCAAAAGAAGTTTATAACATGTATAAGAATGGACCAAATGCTTGACATTTATACATATGATGTTTACAAAATGTTTATATATATATATATATTCCTTTACCAGGCAAGAAAGCTTCTTGCTCTAGGCATGTGAAACTGCCCTATATTGCACATAAATGATATAGTTCTTTTAGTAAGTAGTTTCATAGATTGTGGGAGTGTTTTATGTCAGCATGTATGGAATGGAAAATGCCATCAAACTAGCCCCCCCCCCCCAAAAAAAAAAAAAAAAAAGATAAAAAGAAAAAAAAGAAAAAGGTGCTTGTTCATTTGTTTAAATCACTTATACGAGTCCTTGGCATCACATCCTTAGAAGTACATTATATATTCTTTTTCACACTATTGTGATGCATAGGTATTGAGATTTATTTTAAGCATGTTTCTCACCTCTTTGTTGTCCTAGAATTTCTTCACTTTGTCATGGAAGTCATATATTCTGATGGAGTAACTGGGGTAGTATGTTAAGACACAAATAAGTGGAACAAAGGGACAAGTGTACAAGAAAAGGCCACGTCAGCCTTTAAGTAATGTAACTGAAAGCCAACCACTCGAACAAACTGGACAAGTGGAGGGGCTGCTATAACAGAATTATAACTGAGCGTTATAAATAAAGGAAGTCCATGCCGAGCACAAGGTCGTCCTCGGTGGAGAACATAGTCGACAACATGGAAGGAGAAATGCAAAGATTATCAGCGGACATTAAAGAAATAAAAGAGAGCTTCGCGTCCTTGCTTGGGCGACTGGAATAGACATCATCGGTTTTGAATTGGGAAGGGAAAGAACGTAGTGACACCAGTCATCGAAGCGGATCAGGAACCACCAGAATGACAAGAATTGAGTTTTCCGTCTTCGTAGGGGGGATCCCACGTTGTGGCTTCTGCGAGCCGAAAGGTACTTCGATTACTACGATATGCCTAGACATGATCGTGTTCCACTAACTTCCATGCACCTGGAAGGAGAGGCGATCGTCTGGTACCAGTGGTACCGGCGACGACACCCAAGAGCCACATGGGCGGACTTCATTGATGCCTTAACCATGAGATTTGGTGTCTCGGCTTTTGAAAACTATGATGAAAGCCTCACCAAGCTATGACAGATCGACTCCGTCCAAGATTATCAGATGGCGTTCGAGAGGTTAGCTGTGCGCGTGCAAGGGTGGCTAGAAAACGCACTGGTCGGCAGTTTTGTCGGTTGACTAAAGGAAAAACTTCGGTTGGAGGTTAAAGCCATGCAACCCACCACCGTTCTTGATGCAGCAACTCCATGAAGACAAACTGAATCGGGCAAGAAGGATTAATCGACCCCTAGGAGCTGCGGTCAAACTAGGTATATCGAATCCAGAACCTGGTATCTTGGGTAAACCGGAGTTCAGACCAAGAGTGGGAATCACAAGCAAGGAAGCCAACTCCAGTTCAGGCCCCGGCCCAGCCAAGAGGTTAACCTGGGCCGAGATGCAAGCCCGATGAGAAGAGGGCCTTTGTTATGTGTGTGGAGACAAATTTGGACTCGGCCATTGCTGCAAGATCCAGCAAGTATTCTTCCTTCAGCCTGAAACCGAAAATGTAGAGGAATCAGCAGGCATCGACGAGCCAGTGGACAACCAAGAATGGGGGCAATGGACAAAAGAATATCCGGAAGTATCCCTGCAAGCCTTGATCGGTCTTGCCTCCTCTCAAACTATGAGAGTAACCGGACTGATACAAGGGCGCCATGTATCGGTTCTTATAGACAGTGGTAGCACCCTCAATTTCATTACTCAAACATTGGTCAGACAACTAGGGATTCCAGTCCAACCATATACAACATTCCGGGAACAACCCAATGGTTAAGGCAACTAGGGTCGGTTATATGTGACTGGGCCCGTCTCACAATGGACTTTCAAGTGGGCAAATCGCAGGTGCATATTCAAGGGAAGATGTCCAAGGATCAAGGGCCCATTAGCCTCGCCACCCTAAGAAAACAGGCAGCAGACTTAGCCCACATCATTTTAATGCAGATAGACTCCCACAGAAACGGTCCAATTCTAGCCCAAGGAAGTAACTCTAGCAGATCTGAAGAAGCCCACATACAACTACAACAGTTACTTCAGAAGTTTTCAGTAATCTTCCAGGAGCCTACGAAACTACCACCGGAATGTGCCCATGATCATTGCATTCCCTTGCTACCCGGAATGACACCCACAAATGTAAGACCCTATCGTTACCCCTATTTTCAGAAACTAGAGATTGAGAGACAAGTGCAAGATATGCTTGATAGAAAAATTATACAACTCAGCCATAGCCCATTCTCCTCATCGGTATTACTTGTGAAAAAGAAGGATGGGACATGGCGGTTTTGTATAGACAATAGGGCCCTGAACAACATTACTTTGAAAGATCGATTTCCCATACTGGTAATCGATGAACTACTAGATGAACTCGGCCGGGCCACAATATTCTCCAAACTAGACATGAGATCGGGATATCATCAAATTCGGATCCATGAGGGTGACATCCACAAGATTGCCTTTCGTACACACAATGGGCATTATGAGTTTTTGGTCATGCCGTTTGGGTTGACCAATGTGCCAGATACGTTCCAAGCACTCATGAATGACATATTTCGACCCCATTTGCGCAAATTTATACTAGTTTTTTTTTTTTTTTATGATATACTTGTATATAGCACTACATGGGACGAGCACCTAGTGCATCTACAAATCACTTTGGAACTACCAAGGACTCAAACTCTTTGCAAAGGAGTCAAAGTGCGCATTCAGACCGACTCAAGTACACTACTTGGGGCACATAGTCGAAAATGGCACTGTAGCGGCAGACTCGGAAAAGATCTCAAGCATGATAAATTGGCCCCAACCTCAAAATGTCAATGAGTTACGAGCCTTCTT